AGTAATCGCGGTTGGCCACGAAGGAGCAGCCGATCATGGCGGGAGTCCTGCGATGAGGAGACAAAACAATGTGATGCTGACGTTTACGCCTGCAGGTGTGCGTGTGGCATTGAGAGTGTACGTTGTGAATGTGGGTCGTATATCATTTCACACAATGTGGATGCAGATGTTCAGCATGTAACCCGCAGGTTTTTGTTCATGTTTTAAACGTGATGTATTTTTTTTATCTGGTCATTTAGCATGTGTATTTGGAATTCTAAACTGAACAAATTAGATGATGACAGTCAGATTCAACACAAATGCCCAGATTGCACAAATACAATCTCCAGTGCAGACATTTTTTTTGATATTTTAAGACTCTGGACTGGAATTTTAGTCTGCAGCATGTTTATCTTTTTACCCTTGTTTTTTTACTCGCTCGTCCCGAGAGGAATACCTTTGAAAAATCGACCACTGTAACATTGATATTCATGTTCATCCACGTTCCTACGGATGAAGCTGACTTGCCTGATAGGAGCGGATATGTCCCCCTCATCCCACCACTGTTTGGGCGGGTTGATGTACATGCACCACAGCTCCCAGTTGTAGCCGTGGCCCGAGTTCTCGTAGCGCTCCACCTCGAACGTGTCGTGCTTGATGTTGTCGATGGAGGGCAGGATGATCCTCTTGTGGTCGTCCTTTATTCTGGCCAGGACCGGCTCGGCCCTGAACAAAGCGTCAACACACACATGTACACACGCACTACAGGGCAAACGCGGCACGGAGCTCCTCCTGAGATCTCCACTTTCTCGCCCAGTCGGTTATAGGGTCCCTCAAGCTGAACCATCTTCATTACTAATTCTTTTTGAACGGGCTCAGTGCGGCTCTGCGGGGCGTGCGTCTACTTATGCTGAGTGAACTGGGTTGTGCACCAACTCTGAAGCGGCCCCTGAGCTGGAAAGCGAGAGGTGGGGGGGGTAACAGGAAGGTGTCAGCGGCAAAAGACAAAAGACCATTTGGGCAGTCGAGTGTTTACGTCAGCGTCCGAATCAGTTTCATCTTTTAAATGGTTCCTTGGAACTGACTTTAATGAAGAGGCGCCTGAGAAACGTGTCTACTTCATCGCTCGCTTCACGCTTTGCTCGTTTTTTCGACGAGTTATACGTGTCCTACGGTATCTGTTAAACAGGGTGGTGCAGGCTCCACCTGTCCCCTTCTGTCCTTATCTTAAACCTTCTCAGGTGTGAAATTGCTTTCTGTGTTTTCGCTCGATGCTGCTGTCCTTTGTCCTGTGCTTCGATGGTTCTGTAAAGCACCTCGTATCTTTCTCACAAAAGGGATACAATAGGCGTATGATTCTTGCCGTTTGCTCGCCGTGTTTTGTAATTCAATGGGTCGTACTCGTTCGCGGGGGGGGGGGCGGGGTTGCTCACCAGGACGGCGTGAACTCCACGTGGGCGTCGAAGAAGCCCGTCACCTCGGCGGTGGCCACCTTCCAGCCCTCGATCCTGGCTCGGATGAGTCCCTCCCTCTTCTGGTTCCTGACGATCTTCACCAGGCCGGGGTAGCGCTTGTTCACGTACTCCTCCAGCGGCCCTTTCAGCTGCTCTGCAGTCCGTCACACAGCGGAGACGCACAGAACCAAAAGCTGATGGTTAGCGAGGGTGTCCTCCAAGGCGACATTCGCAACATGTAGAAGTTCCCCGGGGGTTTCAGTTTTGCAGCACAGTACAGTAGCTCACCTGACCTTTGACCTGAAGGGGGGTAAAATACTCCATAATGTCTCTGAAGCTCTCAGTAAAAGTTGCTAAAAGACTCTCCTTTCCCCCCAATTCTGAAATGTCTCATATCTACTGTACATCACTCATTACTTTCATTTGATTGAGACTGAAACTAAATTAAAGGCTTGAATTTGGGCCTTAACTTGCATACACCCACAGGCACGAAAATACTTTAGATGAGTCATCCAGTACATCAATTCAATCTTATTGAAGCAGCATGATTATATGGTTTATTTAGTAAATTCAAGTGATTGAAATGTTCTGCAGAAACTTCAGAGATTTGATTCAAAGTGTACTTGAGCCCACCAATTTAATGCAGCAAATGACTTTCCTATAATGACTATAATGTCAATGTCTAAAAGCAGCCCTGCAAGGGTGTGGATCTATTGTCGGATGGTAATTTACATTTGTGAGTAGATGCTTTGATCCAATATTCATATTCCTCTCTGATGCTTTTCTTCCTTCCTTAAAGAGGATTATAGAACTAGAGGAACCTCTGAATCAATTACATAAAATAATACAAACCATTCTCATCAACACTTAGTTGTCCTTAGTTCATGTTATACATTTCCATCTTTTTCTTCATCTTTCTTCATCTTCTTCTATTATTGATCTACATCGTCACTTATCATCTTACTATGTATGTGAAGTGAACTTCATGTAAAGTGTTTTTTTTTCTATTGAAATTACAAAATATATTTGGTGGAAGAAAAAGAAGAGATTTTTATTTTTTATTTTACCATTGCTTCTCTACTTGTAAAGACTCCTGACTTCTGTGAAGGAATGCCGTTGCAACTCATTTGTCACGCAGCAGCGACATACTGGGACTACGAAGGTACGGATCAGAATCATCGTTTCAACATTATTACAGTTCTTGTGGCAAAGGTGAATGCGATGATGATCTTTGGGATGCGTTGCTGTCTTGTGTGGTTATTTTTTATATTTGACATCACAATTTGCAATATTTCATTTTTACTACTACAACCCTTTCAAATAGTTCTGTATATGTTTCAACTACGGTAATTAGGAAATGACAATTATCAATCAATGCTATTTTCATATTTTTATTTCCAGATGGATCTGCTGCATTATTTAACAATATATTGGCAGCTAGTGAGCTGAGGTAGTTCACACACCTGTGAAAGATGTTCACGGTGCACTTTTGAGCTCCATCCGACTCCAAATCAAACTCCCAACGCCCCTCTACACACACACACACACACACACACACACACACACACACACACACACACACACACACACACACACACACACACACACACACGCAGTAGCAACCCTTCTTCCTCTGCATCACAGACACATACTCAAACATTCCCTTCAACAACAAAAGACATTTCTCATGCTCTCTGGGTTTCCCATCTCTTTCTCTCCACTTCTTTTGATTTCTTTCTCACTCGCACTCTGAATCACAAACTCATTTTTCATGCTGTGTCTTCTCTCTCTCAAACACACAGACACACACACATTAATCACATAGTACACACACACTGTGTGGAACAGGCAGGGCGGGGAAGTGTTGAATGACGGACCAGAACGCTGTTGCTTTGGATCTTTTCCATGATATCTGCCGACAATAACAGCAATAGAACAACGGCCGCCTCGACCATCTCTTAGCGCTTCCTCTTTGTTGGTCTTCGCTGTCTATTCCATCAGATTGCTCTCTCTCTCTCTCTCTCTGTATCCATCTCCTCCTCTCTGTCCGACCTCATTTATATAAGAGCCTCTATGTCTCTCAACCATTCTCTCTTTCTCTCTCTCTCTCTCTTTCTGCCACTCTCTCTAATAGCCTGCTTTGGCCCCTCCAGCATCTCCTTTCATTCTTTGACGGCTCTTCATCTTCCGCTTCCCCCCCCCTCCCCCTTTCCCCTTTGCCTATTTTCAATCCCTTCAGCTCTGTGTCTTCTTAGTTTCCTCCTTCACTAATTTCTCTCTGACAAACAACACCCGTTGCTCTTTGTCCTTCTTGAACCGGCTCTCTCCTCTTCACTCCGCCTGTCTTCATCTCCCTCGGCTTCCTTCATCCCTCTCTCTCTCTCTCTCTCTCTCTCTCTCTCTCTCTCTTTCTTCCTCCGTCCCCTCATCTCACGAGGCCGTTCTCAGCAGTCCTGCCCAATATATAAAACAGGGACAGACTACCGTGACATCCAATTCCAGTGCTCCGCCTCCATCTGCACCGCTGGAAGATTCGACGCCACCGGTCGACCGTCTGATGATATTGAGACCAGCGTGTCATGCTGTCTATGCAATAGTGTTACATGTGGTGATGAACCACATGTTTGATACACAGAGAAAACTGGAAATCAGTGAGAAAAGTCCTTTAAGGACTCTGGAGCCATTTGGGGAAATATTTGCCTTTTGGCGAAGAATTGACGAGTTTGACCTCCTACTCATATCTGTCCGTTAAACATTGTTCGTGGTCTCTGCCAGTTGCTTTCAAATTTAACTAACCCACAAAGACATGTGGCATAGTTAAAACTGGTTAATTACAGCTGCGCAACAGCATACTCCAGTATTTAAATCAATACGGTAGAGTGAAATATATAATATAATGAATGAAAAAAAGTCATTTCTGCACAGTAAATAATTGGGTCAGCCGAAGGATCTGATGAGATCTCCACTGTGATGTGGGATTAAAGGTCTCATCTTACTCTTAGTGACAAAGTAAATATGTTTTTAACGATGTGTTTTTAAGATGTGTATCTGTTCACTAAGCTGCACACAATGCAGGGTTTTAAAGGCAGTTTGATAAATATTAAAGCTGGCAATAACCGGCTGATTGGTGCACTTATTTATTTAAATTTGAACTGAATCATTTTTAAAAATCGAAGATATTAAATCAGCTCTTTAATTTACTGGCTGATTTACAGAATATGTTTTATCAGGATGGTTAAACTAACTGTGACGGCTAGATGTAAACAGTAGCAATACAAAACAGATGGATGTCTGAAATGCAGCAGCATCATTCAATACACCCGTTTACCTTGGTGTAATATGTGGGGGGAAAAGGAAAAATCAGGATAGAAAACATAACCTTTCTGGAAAAATGTATAAAATCTTTAAATATCTGAAAGCTGACTGAGTAAAATAATATATTTTATAAAATATAAAATATATAAAATATAAAACAGAGAGAAAAAGGTTCCTACTCAAACGTTATTATATCGACCAATCAGTATACTTCATGTCTCTTTGTTTGGTGAAACAAAATTAAAAACACACTCTTACAAAGATACAGAATAATTTCTTGTGTCTCACTTCCATTAGTCCACTTCCGTGTACACACACTGTGTACACCACGCACACAGTGCACATAATCAACATTTGACCGTGATTGTCGCCCACTCAATTGTTGCCCCCATTCAATCAAACAAAGCTGCGTACAAATTAATTGTCACTGTGAACACACCGGGGCTGCGAAGGGGCGGAAGATTTCCGGTAATTTTCCAGAAACTTTCCATGGTAAAGTGACCATTTCCTTTGTGCAACAGCATATAACAGGGAGCACAAATTACATTGTAATCATAATGGCTGTTATCTATAGCAAGTTGTGAATCGGCTTATTTCATGAAATTGCACTTTCTTGTATCTTGTTCTTCTAGTTTGCACTTGTAATGTAAATGTAGTTGAGAACAAGACGAGCACAGCTCAGCCGCACCGTAAACTGAAGCCACGTTTATTTTAATGCCAAGTGTGTTTGTATACAGTAGGCTGACCTTTTACAGCAGTGAGAGTATGATGTACTGTATGTATGTCCACACAAAAGTACAACATCACCTCGATTATTCCATCAAAAACCGCCAGTTGGGCGACTTGTCATGAATAGAAGTTATTACTGAAAGTAAATGGCTGAGCAATAAAAACATAATTTTTAGATTTGATTTCATTATATTTTAAAGATGTATGGGGTGTTTATTTGCAATGGATGGAACTATTGAAAACCCAAAGAAATGTTCTCTCAACCCGACGTTGATGTAGACCTGAAGGATTCAGGCATGAGAAGCTTAATTCATTTTACATTTAGAAGTGGACGTTTGAAGGACATTTATATGGAATACATAATTTTATTCAACATTCACGTTGTTGTTGAATGAAAGCATAAAGCTCTACTCACAAATGGTAAGTGTCATTTTTATCATATGTGACAAGGTAAATACAGTTATATTACCCCGAAATATTTCCCGTTATTCCCATTAATACCTGTATATTCCCATGGAAACTTTCCAACTCTGAATGTTCCCAGAGTTACGCAACCCTAGAACACACACGGATGTGGAGGAGGAAATCTCCCCTCTCTACTAACCGTCATCGCTGTTGTCGTCCACCAGGATGATTTCTTTGAGCAAGTGAGCCGGCGTGTGATTGACAGCCGAGTGGACTGAGCGCAGGATCACCGACAGAGCCTCGTTCACGAAGATGAAGATGAGGGAGATCTGGGGGAGATCTCTCGGATAGCCGACCTTTCGGCATCTGCACAGAGAAACGCACACAGACCACGACATCTGTAAGATAGCGCCTCTCTCTCTGTGAGGACACTCGCATCTTCTTCGCCCAGGCTTCCTGTTCAAACCAAACAAATGGGCCTGTTCACTGCCACAGACACGGGCCTTCTGTCATTCATTCGTTTGGTTTTGTTTGAATTGCCGTAATGAGGAGGAAAGAGGCAGGGTGAGGCTTTTGCTCCGAGAGCTCAGGAGGAAACCCACTTCCTATACGTCCTTCTTAATTCCTCTTATCAGTTATACCATCTGGCATCAAACAATTCTATTATAAATAGAGCGTTGAAAGGGAAGAGCATCACAACAGTGTGAAAGGGAACATATAGGAAAAATAATAATAACTGCAGTGAGATATCACGCTGATATGAGACACATACAGTATGTAGCACACATAATGTGCGAAGCGAGACACGCCACAGGAAGTATGGTAATTGGAGTGAAAGAAAGGAAGGGGGCAGGGATGGTGCAAATCAGTGTAACCGGTGGCAGCGTGTGGCGGCATGAACGATTAAGTGTGAGAATGGGAACTTGTCACGTTAAAAGTGTACAGCTTCTTTGACTGAATGCGGCTGCAAGAGTCGGCCCACCAGCTCCTTGATCAGCCAAGTATCAGCCGGCACACTACTGTTCCCATTGGCAAAGGCAGGTCTGGAAACTATATAATCACATTATTCCTCAAACTAGCGTGTTTTCTTCCAGTCCTCCCATTTGCCTCTGAGCCTCTCTCTCGTTTTGTTACCACCACCTCCAGCTCTGCAGTGAGAGGGGACCTTCCGTCAAACACAGCAGGCTCCTCAGACTCCGGCTTATGCATGCTGCTGCTAAGCCTGAAGATATCACACCCCAACACGCCTCGCATGCCACTTTGATCCAGAGAAAACATGAAAGACCCCCCCCCTCCGAGTGAACGCGCAGGATTCAGATCCCTCCCCTCTCCCACCTCCCCACCCCCCAATACATGCACACAGCGGGTGGTAGTGATCGGCCGAGGGCGTTCTAATCACCAGCAACTTGCAAGCGGAAAGGGGTGTTAGTCGCTTAACGAGCAATGTGGGCCATCAGCAAGACTCCTTAAAGCAGCATTTATGGACACCGGCCCTGTGCACGCACATGCAGTACACTGCACAAGTCTGTCTGCAGGAGCGTGATGAACACATTCATCCATAATGCGCAAGCACAAATGGAAATGCACCTTTTTCCACCAGCTTTTCCAAGGACTTGTGTGTACGTGTGTGTGCGCATAAACAACACAATGCTGGGAGACAAATCCTCTTTAAAGGGGATCTAAACGGGGTCTGTTAGAATCGTCCTTAGACTTTCAACATGGCCGACATGAGCAGTGAGTCCTTCTTTGTGCTTTTCCCAAGCTGAAATAACTGATTTACCATCATTTATGAGCACAAAAAAGGTAGGTTTTTCGGAGAACACAATTAAGTCAATTCATTGATTTGTTGACAGATCTTATCAGCGTTAGTGGAGTACGAATGTCTTTGGTCTAAAGGATTTGCTGCAGGCAACCCTGTGCCAACAAAGCAAGGAGACGCTCACTTTACTGCACACTCCGAACTAATGTGCAGCTATATAAATATATAAATGTAGAGGGAGGTGCTGGAGCCAACTAGCAGCGACAATCGTCATGTTGTACTGGCGCCCTGCTTTAATGTGACTGCATGAGACGAGTCCGCTGATTACCACGCGGCTTTGAATGATCCAGTTATTATTGTTAGGCATCCAGGAAACAGCTGCTGCTAATGTGAGCGGGGACCTCGTCGCCGCTCCGCCTCAACTGTTGCTGCGCCCCATTTAAATAATTAATCAGCAACACGTCTTTGAATAAACAGCGTCTGTTAAATGCGCAGAGCACAGTGGACTGTTACCATACTACTTCAGACCAAGATCCGGTGAAACCGCGTTGATGATGATGTTTAAAGGTCATTTTCCAAACGCTATTGACAACAAACGTTGGAAATGACTCTAAAGGATCCACTTGACATGCACTCACTTTCCAGGCCGGTGGTCCGGAATGGTCCGATCCAGGGAGATCCGGTCACTGAGGTAGGCGTTGTAGCCGTACTTCTCCCTCAGGTTTTTAGCGTCGCTGTCCTCGGCCGGCGACAGAGTGGCGGGAAGGCCGCCTTTACCCCGACCGCCAAAGCCCTCGATGAGGCCCAGAGACTTGGACAGACCTGGTGGGAGGCAAACCGGAGAAGCTAACGTGTCAGGATGCTTTAGTCTGGCTGGGGGGGGGGGGGGGGCTGTAGCAGCAGGGGGGCCGTGGCCCCACCTACGTGTCTGTGGCTTTGAGGTCACCGTGACGAAGAGATAGAGGATGATCTGAACGTCAGAATTTGTCCGTTCAGTGACCTTCATCCTTCATGGACTTTAAACGGGGGGCAATTAATGTGGTCACACTTTCTATGACTGAAAGAAAATCTGCCTATGGCCCTCATGAATATTCATAATGATTTTATGTGTCTCAACACATTATAAAGCATTTCATAATTTCACACACATCGTCATATTTCATCGTATTTCATAACTGATGGTCACTCACTGACTTGTACAGATGTTTCTATTATTCCATAGTTACATTTGAATATTATTCTCATAATACAATATAAATTACCCCAAGTTGTAATTGTTTAGAGTAAAGTGAAAAAAATACAAAATCTGTTAAATTACTTTTTTACATTACATCATGTGTTACTGTAATGAAGTATTCCCATAGTTCTTATAAAAGTGCTATAAACAGATTATAAACACATTGTAAGTGTTTTAATAAATGCATTATAGACAAATGCCAGTGCAAGTGTTTTAACAATTTGTCTGCCACGTCGGCATATTTCTGTGAATATTAGTTGATAGTTGAGTGAGAGTAGAAAAGTATTATACATAACAAGTACTTGAGTAAACAATAACTATCAAATGTTAAATAAGGAACATAACACAGGTCTGTATTGTTCCAACTTCTTTTATTATAATGTGGACATGCAGACGTTCATCAACAAGTAAAAAAATAGATCAACACGCAATATCCCCAGTTTTTATAAAGCGGAACGAGAAAATGTAAATACTCAGTATATCTTTGGAGCGGCGTTTAAATTGTGTCATTAGTCCGAGGAGTAAAGCTCTGAACATTCAAATCGCTGTTTAGCCCAATTTCATGACACTGACCCTCTGAACTGCCCAGCAAAACCGTAACAATGGTATAAAAATAACTATTTAGAATTGAAACACTGTGTAAGTGAATTCAATGAATCCAAACGGATTCAAGTCGCCAGAACATCTTGAAGCAGAATCGCCTTTCGACAGCAGACACACACGCACACGAACAGACAGAAAGACGTAAAACCACGACGGGCTTTTTGGAGCCCACGCCGGTTGACGGCTTGTTGGGTCTTAAGTCGTCCTACTTCCCATGATGCCTCAGGGCTTTAGGGGCTTCATGACACCTGATGTGATCCACCAAGGCGGCATTCAACCTTAGTTATGATGTTTTGGTAATATCAGGGGAAAAAAAGAAGACGCATTCAGGTATTGCTGATATCAATCTATGAATAATTGCGCCCCAATTTAGAAAATCCAGGCTGTTTTCACAGCTTTTTTTCACGACCACACAACAAGAGGTGGAGACCAAAGGGCACTGGACGTATACCACATGTCCACACGTGTCATTTTTCCACTGGACTTAGCGGTGCGGGTCTGGATGTTGAAAAAGTGGTCTTTACCTGTTCTGAAAAAAACAATTTGAAACATAGCTTCATCTCTGAAGTCCATGTTTACTAATTCAAAGACAGGATTTTGATTCTACACCAGCAGGAACATGGATTTGTGAACGTGAAAATGTGATATTATGTCCTGTATCTATCTTACAAGTTCAAGCGGTGTGACAACAGCCAATCTGATGATCCCATTAACTTTCTTCTTAATTCCCCAATTGGAAGCCGCTTCTGCGTCATCGGACACGCCGAAACCCAACCTGCTCCGACGCCATTAAACTATTTAGTTCACAATCAAGTTCCAAAGCTAACATTCACTTCTGCTAAAGAGGCACAAGAGGCCACACAATAAAAAAGCTGTTTTAGTCTGTTGGTTGGACCTTGTCATGCCTCAGGAGAGAGCTCGTCTCTTGGCACCGACACCTTCTTCTCCTTCTTCTCCTCCGCTGCCCTGGCTGCTCAGCTGTCGAATCGCCTGAGTCTCCTCAACCTGACCTCCTCAGCTGTCGGCTCCTCAAAGGGGCGGAAACCATAAGGAGGGGGGGCACCTCTCTGGCCGCCTTGTCCTTCAAAATAAAACATTCTTAGATTCAGATACTTTTGACTTGAGCAGCCTTTTTTCTAAAGCGGCAGCCTCTACAATTCATTGCCACCACTGACCTCTGTCATGCAGGCTGTTTCTGATGGCCGCCTCTATCTGCTCCTCCTCCGTCAGTCCGCCTGTATAAGATGCTGCACGGGTTGTGTGATCTGGTGGAGCCGGGCGGTATCCCGAGTATCCTCCACCCGCGCCGCTGTAGCCTGCAGACACACACACACACACACACACACACACACACACACACACGGCATGAGTATTCGAAAACACATCAAAAGTTTGCGGCTGTTGTCTCCTCAAGTCCTGTTATTGTCAACAAATTTGCAAAGCGAGAAAACGCCGAAAGATGTATATTTAATACAAAAAAATGACTGTCAAGCGGATGATTTCATGGTATCTTATAAAAGTAGAAGAGACAGAATAACGGATTTCGAACAGTCCGTCTTTCTCTTCTTTAAGAGAAGGAAGGTAGTAAGACAGCATTTGAAGAGTTTTCGAACACACCGGAGAGAATGACAGATTACAACCCCCATTCATTTCAATGGCCAATGCTATGCTGGCTAGGAAGGGGGGGGGAGCTTCACTCAGGTGTAGCTGCTGACATAGTCGCCATGAATACAGGACAGCGTAAAGGTAGTGAGTGTGTGTGTTGTTAGTTATTTTACCGCCACCTTCCTCTACTGTTTCTTTTTTCATAAAATGTCAAAAAAGTCAAAATTTTAAAAGTTGTATTAGAAATGTTTGCATGCATGTCTGCTTGTGAAAGGATAAATACTGTTAAATTAACCACAAATTTCCAGTTAATTCCCGTATGTTCCTGTGGAAAGTTTCCAACTTTCCATATTCACGGAATTTTGCTACCCTAGTGATGAGGCACTTAAAATTTGCCTCAGAGGGCTCTACAGTCTGTACACATGCCACATCCTGTCATGAAACCCTCACATCGGGACAGGACAAACAGCAGAGAGGAATCCGTCTCTCGGGATGGACAGACTGCGATGGGTGTCTGATAAATATGCGTTCATGATTCTCTCCTGCTCGTCAGCGGAGAAAAAAAGAGGCTCTTCCTTTGAGGTTATTTTCCGTTGTGCGGTTACAAAAACATGGTTTCGGTGATCAAAAGCTCCCCAATTTTCAAGAAGGACGCGCGCACAATCATTCTGATGACTGACGTCTGGTTTGAATTAACGAGGTTGTTTGAGTGCAGATCCGCCTTTGAAGAACCGAGATAGCCTGACTTCAATCATCGGGTTAATTTGAGCTGGCATACTTTGTTTGACTTAGGACAAGGAGCATTCCCCTGAATAGTCTCTCGAAATCTCTCATCGGGTCACAGCCCCTACACCCCTCCGCCATTGTCATTTTACTGTGATCAAGCAAACAGTACTACACAATCGAAGCTCCGTGTAGCAATTAAACAATTTAAAATTCTGGAATCAGGTACCTGTAGTGCCTGAAGAGCGGTAGTACGCGTTGGCACGGGAGTTATATCCATTTGATGTTACAAACCCTGGTGAAAATGTAGGAAAGGAGACATTTTAAGTGTAAACATTGGGAAACTTGTGGGGCGAGGGAAACATTTAAATTCTGACCTGCACATGTCTTCATGACGGCCTTCAGCGGCCCAGCAGTGTACAGCAGGCCCACCAGGATGCCCGCCAGGTGACCGACAAAGGAGGTCCTGAAGAAGTGGAGCACAGATTAATTCCCAACTAATGGAACACTGCCTCCAGGTGGACACCTCTATTCATAGCACGTGGAAAAGGAAATATTAGCCTCTTCTAAACATCTGCTACATGATTTTTATTTTCTTGACAATATATATAAAGATCAGCTTCAATGTGTGTGAACTGGTGCGTGGGTTATCTCATTAAATACAGGAGGATTAACCCCGGCAGTGCTAGTGCCCTGCAAGGTGCACCATGGTGGTTTACACTTGCATTTCTGACCAAGGAATCCTGCTGAATTTTTAAAGCAATCACGTCCGATTGGTAACTCACCCAGGTGATGTTATGTGGATCAGCACAAGCTCTACCCAGCTGACATAGCGATTAGACACGGGGAAACCCATCACATAGGTCACACCTCCAGGATGGTAATGGTTATTTAGCACCTTCAGAGCAAACAGGACACCTAGAAACATCAAGACACAGTCATGAAGATTTATCAAAAGGGCAGGGTGGGGGATTTTTACCACTGTGACACTACAGCTTCACTGTATACATATTCACAGAATAAATATAAAAACTTTAAACAAATATCAGGAAACAAAAAGGTTACACTGCTCAGCATAACTGGAAAGCCATGAAGACCAGCAGTCACATGACAGAAAGTCTGCCAATCTTCAAACAAACTGCAAGCTGCTGAACACCAGTCAGTCAGGTTGGAAGTAGAGGTTGGAAATATGTAAATAGTTCAAATTATCTTTGTGGATCTACACAGTTCCACGTTGTACCAGCAGACCTACATAAAACGTCTAATCGTTTAAATGATTACAGGTCTTGGGGAGTTTTGTAGATCAGTCTGTACCTGAGAAGCCGACAGCACAGGCCATGCTGTAGGATTGGTCCTGGGTGAGCTCCGTCAACAAGGCCTCCAACGCCAAATAGACCAGTCCGGTGATCAGAGAGAAGACTGACAGCAGGTAGAGGAACCAGGGCCCGCCCAGCCGGCGCTCCAGCGCGGCGCCTTTCCAGAGGAAGGACAGCATGTTGAAGTAGAGGTGCCAATCATCCACGTGGTGTAGCGGGGAGAGCAGAAGGCGGCGCCAGTCTTTGAACCAGTAGGCCTGCTGGACACTCACACAGGCCTACGGGTTGGATGCATAGTATTAGTCATATTGATACAAAGTACGTTAATTTCATATTGTACAATGCAGTGCTGCATGTCATTCTGTCATCAGCGTTTTAATTTATTGTGTTATTATATCCTCTGTGATACAAACAAAAGATAACCAGGAAGTTGTCCCATGAGATGAACCAGAAGAAGCAAATAGTATAGAAAGTATTATCTTTCTATTTTTGCAGTACCTGCATCAGTGGAGCTGCGGGGAACAGGTAAAGATACACATTGAGTCCCAGGACAGCTAGAGTGACTGGGGGGATGTGGTCCAGGCCCATCTGAAACACCTGGGAGGCGAGGAGCATCAAGCCCAGATGGGATCCCCGCTGTCGGTTCCGCATACTGAAAACTGAAAGACTGGGCAGATGAAACTGTGAGAAGAAAAGAAGCAGCATCAGAACATCAAATCATGGATATAATCAATGTAACGTTGTCATCAGTTAGCGGTTTATGGAGGTGGCACATTTACATAGATTTGGTGGCCGTGGGCTCAATACGAAAGTAAACTGACACAGGCGTTTCTGGATATACCGTGTGGTTGAACATAAATAAAAGAATATGGGGATATGCTTTAAAAAAGCTTCGTATAAAATATTTGAAAAAGGATCAAAACACTGAGGTTTTAATAAACTAACGGAACGGTTTTAGCTACCTAATGTTAAATAGCTTCCCGGGAACAAGCTCAGTATTGGTAACGACAACCAGTCGCCTACCAAAGAAAACCTTTATCAAAACATCAACTTGACTTAAAATACACTTACTGTGAGTTCAGTCCGCTGTCCGGAAGCTCGCACGCGTTTTCCTCCTTCTGCGGTGCTTATGCTAATGCTAATGCTAGTATACCATTAGCGCTTTTGGATGGTTTCGAGCTTGTACACCAAGTCCGCTTCAAATGATTATAATATCAATATAGGTGTGTATTCATTTCCTCCACACGTCAGTAGAATGTGTTTCTTTATATTTTCTACTAGCCAGCGTTACCAGTGATGTTAAGCAAAAGTTTGTGGCGTTGCGTCAGCTGTCACGTGACAATAACAGATCTGCATGGCTGACGCATGCGCATTACGGATTTCCCTCTTTGGTGACTTGTCTCCAGCTATGGATGGTGTCCAGAGGAGTAAGTAGTAAGCCTTCATGTTGACCATAGTTTTTGACATTTACATCAGTATACAAGTCATCTTATAGTCTAAGACAATGTAGATCATTAGCGTTGTATATGTTTATTGTAAGGACCGATTCAGTTGGAAAAATAAAGTGATGACTATCATCACTAGCTGTGGAATCAAATCAACTGTAAGGTTTTTCTCTGTGATGTCAGCTTGTGTATGCTTGAGAAGGTCTCTATTTGTTTAATTGTTGAGACAGTAGAAAAACACATCATCACTGACATGCAATGCTACGAGGTTAATCACTAACGATAAACAGGTACTTCCTACATTTAATTTCTATGGATGTTTTTACATTTTACTGTACGCAGACTACCGCAATGATTATCAGTAATGTTAAAATGTTAAGGTTCTTAGGTTTTTCTTCCATCCAATATGAATAAATATTTGAAACACTGCAGTATACTACAGTAAAGTTCAATGTATATATATAATATATATATGTATGTAATCTAATGTATATAATGTATGTATATATATGTATGTATGTATGCAAAACTGCCTGAAGCAGCTATTTGTGTACTACGTAAACCTAAGAACCTTAACATTTTAACATTACTGAGGTATGAAAGGTTGATAACCATTGTGGTATATATATACATACATACACACAACTATCTGTATAGGATTTTTACTTCAAAAGATAACACCCCAAAAAGCGGGGCTGTCATATTTGGTTGTTCAAATACGTTATAATGGAGCGTTTTAAATGCGGAATGAAATCCCGTTTCCGGTAGAGGGGTTTAACCTCCCACTTTGCCTAAATAGTCTTTGGCATCAATTACTAACACGTGTGTTGCACACCGTCTGTCAATGAATTATTGAGGAAGCCACGCCGGCACTGGGATCACCTTTCTCTCGAGGGGAAGTTAATCTTCAAACATGCATGAAGGGCAGCTTCAGTTTGTCAACGTACAAAAACTACAATTTGAACACAACAGTTAAATTAACCCCCCCCCCCCCAGTGATCAGGAGCTGAGCTAGCGGAGAGGCTGTTGCTATAGTAACAACGGTACGCACGGCAGTCACGTATTCACGATTCAGTCGCGATTTTTACCGGAAAATGACGATGTCTGGTCAAAATAAAAGTGCTTAGTTGTCAATACATAAGCTAATTAATACATCAACGAATACACATTTTACAAAAATACTACATAATTAAATACAGGCTTTGAGAGAGTGAGGCTGCTATTTGATTTGTAGCCTAGTTTCAATGGATACCTCAAAAAAATCCACGTTCTCTTTTGTATGTTCCGTGAAGCTGTAGGTATGGTCTATGTATTTGACACCCGACATTAAAATGTTATCCAAATTATATTTGAGCGCACATACTTAAGGACCCTCTTTAAAAAATAAGTGGCGCCCGTTGCCATTATTCTTATTTTGAAAGTCACAACCGGAAGTTTGGTACATGCAGTGTGTAGCTTGACGCTAGCAGCGAAGCAGTAGCAGGAGACAGCAGGTTGCGGGGGGGGGGCAGCACCAGCAGGTAAAGGTGTATGTGTCTGTCCGTTTATGAACGAGGGGGGGAGACGGGAAGGGGAGAGACGGCGTGGAGAAGAGACGGAGAGGGAAAAGAAAAAGGAGGATAAAGGACGAGCCGGCCAGAAGGGAGGAATAAGAGGAGCGGGGATGTCGGAGAGGATATCATCGTGCGGGAGCCTGTATGACAGCACCAACCTGCTGCTACAGTACTGCAACAACGGTGAGAGCGCGCTGTGCTGCGTCCTGCTACACGGGCACGACTTGAGGAATCCACTGTGAATTTGTTTAGAAATGTGCACAATTACAGCCAGAAATGCATCGACAATGGGTGTTCTTTGGTTCTCAGGGGCTGTAGAAAGAAAGCGAGCGAAAATCCACCTGCTTAATCCAATTAGCCCGATTGGATACATTGTGTGAAATATCATTACAGCTACAGTACAGTCAATTTTTTGTCATCTTATATTCTTGCAATGCACACTTGATTAAAAAAAATCTGTCCTTTTTATTTTATTTTTCTAAATATATATAAATATATGTGTATATATATATATATATATATTATATACATATGTGTGTTTTATTTTATTTTCACCACATTTAGGCTTGGGTTGTAGTATTTCTGATGATATTTAAGGGGTTACAGCTTAAATCACATCTCCGCTGACATATCTGGTTTATTAACTCATCAGGAACCTTTTTGCTGAGAATGTGCACCGTGTTGTGATCACAACATGGCCCATTTCCTGCTTTGAAATACTTGACGCTCTCTCATGGCCTTTTGGCCGCCTTCATATGTGCTGCTCTTTAGTCGCCATATCACATTCTGCTTTACAAATATCATGCAAATGCTCTGCGGACGACAGCGGGCTGATAATGAAGTCTAATGAACATTATTTTTAATAATTTAAAGATCTAACTGAATGCATGCAAACCGATGCCGGGATCCCACAGAGACCAGACTGCCATATTGAGCAACAGGTGCAGAGACAGCGAGGGGGTCACGGGAGTCTGTCCACGATGTAACACGTGGCACTCAGACTCCTCGGAGAGGGTTGTCGTCCACACGCTCTAGCAGCCCCCGGGTGTCAGGAACAATGTCAGACAAACGCACGAGTCGTGCGTTTAATCAGGGAGCTTATGAGATATTTATAAGAATCTTTAGTTAGTTGACGGCTGGTCCTGCAGCGGAGGAACCGTCACCCTTAATTCTGCCCGGTGGTTTAGTTGAGCTGTTCAGAGAACGAGTACCTCAGGAAAGGTCCTCACAAGTATAGGATAAGAGGCCGGTATGCTTGTTTGCTGACATTTACAGAAGGTATTTTGAGGCGTTCCTCAACTGAGAGGTCAGAGGTCAATCTCTCCGGAGCCGACAGAGATTCAATGTCTTATCCGTCTAATGCGCGGTGGAAGGCTCGAGAGTACGCAGGTTTCACCAGTGTTTTACAGGCTCCATTTCACGTGAAAATGAACCGATGTATCCACCCATGGTGCAACCGCTCGTATGCATTTTTGGGGCCAAAAGAACTTTGCCAAAAAAGTGGCATCTGGCCCTTAAAGATCTGGATGACAATGGGGATTTTTTTGTGACTCAGAAAAGACATTTACCAAAAGTGCTGAAGTCGCTGCTTAAGCGAAGGACCTTGTGAAGTCCACCCCCGACCTGGGAACAGGATGGGGATCGACCAACTTCCCCTCTTCCTTTTTTTATTGTGGTGCTTGTGTCCGACTTCCCCCCCCCTGTGCCATCTGCCCTCTCGTTGTAACCAGAGATACTCCGCATCGGCCACCTGTTCTCACATCTTGAACAAATACTCTCCGCGTTGTCTATTTTTATAGTTTTCTATTGTCGTACTGAGCTCAGGTGCAGTGTTGCAGGTTTTATGAATATGAGGGGGAATAAATGACTGTTATCTGAATGCTCCCTAAACTCCACAAGCAGCATACAAGAAACCCATTACACCTGTGTGAAACCACTCATGCTTTAGGAGCGAAGGACCCCTTACAAGATGGAGTATAAAGCCTTTTCTTCTGTGCCTGCAGGATGCTTGAGCTGTCATAGGTGCTTCCCAGCTCTCTCTCTCTCTCTCGCTCTGCAGTTTTGTGTTTCACTCTCTAATTTCTAATTGAAACGAGTGGCCAGCAGGGCGTGGAGAGTACTTAGTGCTCACAGCCACACAATTAAATTCAGGCAAAAAAGATGGAATTATTTTCTTAAAGCGATGTATGTTTCCGCCTGCTCAAAGTGAACTCTGTAAGTACACCCTGTAGCCCGATGACACCAGGAGGTCGTCCACGCCGTACAGTATCGTACTGTGTGGTCTGAGAGGACGGTGTTGCAGCAACGAGAGCTGCGCGCTGTAGTGCTGCACCGGTCTGGGATTTGCCAAATTTGCTGGCATTAAAAAAAAGAAAAGAGAACCTCATCACTTGGCTGAATGTGCTGCAGGAGTTCGCCTCACTCTGTGTTTATGATGCAGAAGAGAAACAAACATTTAGTCATTCCAACATGTCTGTAAAGAGGATGTTGAAGGATGAGGGATTGTAGAATTTGATCATATGAGGAGCAATATAGTATTTTACTGTTTAGGTTAAAGGAAAAGACTGGTGTGATGTCTATTTTTCTTAAAATACAAAAATGTGTCAGTCTCTTGGTTCTAACAAAACATGTATATCTTAAAAAATCTGTAATGGTTTGTAATTTGTTTTTTGGGATTATTTTCACATGCGGATTAACCTTAATCTAGTTGTGGGAATTTGGGATTTAGTCAAAATGAATGGAAATGGTCACAAAGGGCCACGTCACCCAGGGCGACAGTGTTGTTAACAGTATTGGGACAACAGTGGAGCTCTTACAGGGGGAAAATATTTATGCCTGTTCAAAGTGAACTCTGTGCGTGTTCCACATGTTGTGTTTTGGTCTTTTTCCCAGAATTAGCTTTTAACGCAAAACAAATGAATAGAATATTACCCCATTTACCTCATCCCAACTCTCTGTAGAGGCCGTACAATAATACTTTGCGATGCTTTTGACGTTACTTGTGTGTGTCATTGATCCGGAGTCCGGCTCGGCAGCTCCTCTTCCTGGTGGTGCCTCGCTGTACAGATTCTGATGCAGTCTGTGTGTGTTTGTGGCCCGGCGCCAGGGTCCACCCCTTCCGCTAACAAGGGAGGAGGAGGAGGGGAAGTGAAGGAGGAGAAGATGGGGAAGGAGGAGGGGGTGATGGAGTGGTCCGGGAAGTGAGGGAGTGGTTGGTTGAGAGGGGCGCGTGTGTAAGAGGGCGAGCGAGAGATCACGGGAGGGGAGGGAGTGAGTCCAGAAAGCCTCTGGGGGGAAGAAGAGTGGACGAGCTGAGCGACCGTGCTGCAGACTGAGCGTCTGCTTTGGCCGACGGGAGGAGTGGCCGGGCCCTGAGCGCAGGCACCATGACAGGTAGGACGAGGCCGGGCTCCATCACTGCACTGCACCGGGAATGTTACAGCAGGCTGCAATGTTCTCACTGCCCCGCGCCGACCTCCCATTGTCCATCTCTCTCTCTCTTTTTCTCTGACAAGCCGCCCCATCCTCCCCTCTGCCCTTCACCATCCTCCCCTCTGCCCTTCACCATCCTCCCCTCTGCCCTTCACCATCCTCCCCTCTGCCCTCCACCATCCTCCCCTCTGCCCTCCACCATCCTCCCCTCTGCCCTTCCCCATCCTCATGTTCTTTTACTCTCGTCCCTCCAACTCCTCATCTCCAGTCGTGCTTCCTTGATTCTTTTATTCTCAAGTAACGCTAATATGAAAATGTAACATGTGCTACACGGAGGACTCCTCATGAACAACCACTCTGGAAGCAGCAAGCGGCCTCGTGTCAGCTGGGTTTAAGTATCATGCGACAGAAATGTCTGTCTGTGCTGGGATGGAGAGGGAAGTGTGTGTGTTCGCGCTTTGCCTGCTGAATATTAAATGGATGTGGCCTCATGGTCTATAAGGAGAATAATGGAGTGAGTGTGAATTGAAGGGCGGCTCTGCGGTGTTTTTTTTTTTTAACAGGTGTGCTGCCAGGAGAGAGGAGATGCAGGTGAACCCAGAAGGTTCCTGCACATCCCTCTTCTTTCTCTTCTCTGTTCAGTTCAACTCAAAGAATGAGTTGCAGCGCTGCAACTCAAACTAAATGTGCCGAAATGCATCCAAACGCAAGAAAGATCCAAGAGTTGCTAACGTGTACGCTAACCTGCTAATAGAAGGCATGTGACATTGTAAAGTTACATGGCTTTACAATGCCAAATGCCCCCCTCCCCTTCTGGCAGGTTGGAAAAAGAAGAACATGGTGGAGTTTTTGGCCTGGAGATGAATCGTTCTCCTCTGTTTGTCTCAGAGCAAGGCCTCTCTGTTCCCGCCTTCACGTCACCTCCTCCCACCAACAATCTGTGTCTCCCTCAGACAGTTGGTTTTATCTCTTTCTTTCAGCGTTTCTCCCTCGTGATCCGGCCTCCGCTGCATTCTACAACGAGAAAGAGATTTACTTTTCTGTTGTGTGAAACAAGTGCAACAAGGTGAACAGCGAAATCCCCCACGAGCTGAAACGAGAAATATCTCTTCTCCTCGCATGAGAGTATGTTTTATCGGTCCCATAAACCACAAGAAAGGTTTCATCCTCGTACACCAGATAAAAGAGCAGAAGTGTAAAAAAAGCAAAGGATCACTGAGGCGATCTGCTGATATGCAAATCTCCCTTCAGCTGGATGCAGGTTCACCTGAAGCTGGATTTCCCTTCAGGCCGGCTCTCGTTTGACTGCAGGAAATGATACCGTTACAGTACCGCAGTGTCCTCTGTGCCGCCCCCCCCGCACCCGCTCCTCCAGACTAGGTTTTCAGGGCTAAAGTGATGCATGCTGGGAGCTGAAGCCGCTGAATCTACTGCGGTGCTCTTAGAAAAAAGTTTATACTTTAGACCGTTTCTGACGAGGACGTTCAAGGAGAAAGTTCATTTTTCTCTCTTTGGGTGAAATATGTTCAACCTGTAGATGTTTGCAACGTTTCTAGTTCTGTTGGGCTGTTTATAGCTAATGGGTTGATCAATCAAGTCTTCAGGTGTTTGAAGTTGAGCACTTTCGGATACTGTACTTCTCTGATGAGACACTTTTTTCCTTGGAGTACACTATTGATCCGTGGGACTTTCTCAGCAGGTGTGATATTGAATTGTTTGTCCCTTGGTTTATAACAGGAATCCACATTTCTGATCTTAATGGTTGTACTTCACGACAGAGAGGGTTTAGAATTTAAGATGGAATAAGTAAGATGTAATCTGTTAATATGGGCCACAGATAATCCGCACTGGGCAGTTTGCCTTCGATAATCTTTGTGGTGTCATCATGGTTTGTGTGTGTGATGGCGTCATCGACATTACTCGGTCCACAACTTATCCTTTCATCATTTTGAGCAAACCTACTTCGAGATCCCACAGGGCTCCTTTTTAATCTTCATGCATGCAGATGTGACGCATAAGGACAAAGCTTTGTGTCTCTGTCTCCGGCTGTGTTTGCAGCCCTCTCTCTCTCTTATTTCTCTTCTCTCCCGTACAAAGCATCCTCACAACCAGGCCACTGTGTTTGCTAACCTTTGCTCACATCACACACAGTCTAAATTATTCTATAAAGCCGCTCTAATGCCAACTGAGAACTTCCAGACCGTTGTTCACAGAGCAACAGCAGGGATCAGTGAGACTCCCCCGAAGCAGCAGCTTGTGTTTGTGGTCAGAGAAATGAGCGACAAGTATCCAAGAAGCGGTTAGTCGTGGTTCTATTTTCTTTATTCCTGCAAAGTGCTCAGTGATGTTTTCTATCGGCACTGCAAGTCCATCACATCTAAAAAGAAACCAAAATCCCAGTAAATTCCCACTGTTATTATGAATAAAGACGCTGATGTCATGTGCTTCTACCACTCCATGTTGGACCTTCCCGTCATGTCCCATCGGCTCAGATCTAACCCGAGAACCCTCTGTGCCCCTGGTCCAGATGACACGGTGTCTGCTGGCAGCAACATGGACATGGAGGACCGGGTCTCCCACCTGGAGCAGAAGCTGCAGCTGCAGGAGGACGAGATCCAGCTGCTGAAGGCAGCCCTGGCCGACGCCCTGCGCCGCCTGGGCTGCTGCGAGGAGCAGAGCCTGGGGGGGCAACGCGTGGGCGTCCGCGCCGCCGGGAGGAGACCTCCGGCCACCGCGCCATCGGCACCGGCTACCAAGGGTAAGCAAGGTGACCGACCAATAGAGAGGCCTCTCCCCCGCTAGTTGGGCTCTTGTATGATTTTCAGCACATGCTGGAGCTCATAACAGCGCGTTCCCTTTTCAGCGCGTCCGCTCCTGCAGGCGCTCCCCTCCAGACCGCTGAGCAACGGCTACGTCCAGCAGAAGCGCCTCCTCTCCTCCCCTTCCTCGCCTAAAAGGGAGGTGCTGCAGTCCATTAAGAGGTACCAAACGAAACCCATCATGTTGCGTAAATGACTAGCGAGTCCTGTGTCATCCCAAGATTATTAAACCTTCACAATTGCCTCACATTTTATTTTTCCTTGTCCCTCACCCCAGTTTGCGCAGGGAAATGCTAAAGTTAGGTTTGAAATGTCAGGACACCGATTTTTCCCCCTCGCCTCTTCTCTCTCCAGGAAGAGCATGTCCACAGAGCGCCTCACCCTGGTGAGAAGAGAGTTGGGAGCGGAGAGTCGGAGTCGAACCACCTCCTCCAGCAGCTCCTCTGGAGGCAAAAGGTAGCGCCCCGCCGAGCGCCGTCCCACTATGTTTCTAGACCTGTGAACCCCTTCTCACTACCTGATACGTTTCCATGACAACAAACTCCTCCTTCTGCCTCACAACCGGCTCAGAGAAGATGCTTGTGCATCGCACGGCTGTGGAGGAGGTCAATGGGGTCACATTAGATTGTTATGACATGTTATTTCAGGTATTAGATATGGTGAAATGTCTTCTCCAGGCTCCTCCCTCTGACAGACAATACGCTGTTAAATACATCCTCACCCATATCCTCCTCACTCATTTTGGGGATGCCATTTTGTAAAAATATCTATCTTGCAAAACAAGCAAAAGGAAGGTCCAGGAAGGTCTAGTTCCAGAAATCAAAGAGGAAATGAAAAACGTGTAGTTCTCGCTTGCATCCGACCACGTCACCCTCGTGTCTGATATGTCGGCCCTGGATCCCTGGATGCTGCAAGAACGGCACGGGAGGTTTTGTATTCACCGCCCGTCGCTATGAGAACTTGTGCTTCAGCTGTTTGGATACAAAACCGCTTCATCAGCGTCTGTCACAGTCGGCTCTTCAGTGGGCCACCGTGGAGATGTCACCATGAATTAGGTAGAACAGCTGAGAGTCCATTGATCTTTGTGAGGCGTCAGCCGCGAGCCTGATCAACACCGTTGCATGGGGTGAAGTGAACACACGCAGGTCACGCATGTCGGCTACAAACAAACCCAAAAGAGTTTATCTTTTAGATGTTATACTCTCACGTTCATTCGCTTCTTCTTTCATTTTCCATTCTTCATTCTCTCTGTCGCTCTCCTTCTGCTGATGGATCAGATTTCAAACAGGGGTTGGTAGAGGGGGCGTGGTCACCAGTGTGAGGGGGGCGGGTCACGGGGGACGCCCTTCTGATTGGATGCCGGGTCGCCACCAGGCCGAGCTAAAAGTTTGCCCGTGAAGGAGGAAGTGTCTGTGCTGCTGGAGCTGTTGTGCAGGACGTCACTCCGCCGTTAACCGTAACGGAAAAAGCTCGCGGCCATGAAGAGATCGTCCAGGTAAATGGTCTTTAATGGATAATCGGTGCTGGTCTGAGATACTGATGAAGCCTTTTTGTATATGAGGAAGTGTAGTAGGTGTTTTCTGGACGATAATATGCAACAAAAAAAATGCATTTGCTGCTTTAAAGTCAACCGGATGAATCTGAATAAAAGTTTGGAAAAGTGCGCATTCACGCCTCACCAGCTTTACGTCTTGTTATCTAACGTTATGTCGGTGAAAGCCGGTTTCCTGCTCGGTGGATGTGAGGAAGTCGGGTCTGTTTGGTGAAGCGCTGTTGTCACGCACACCGCTTGGTGTGGTGTCTGCAAGGTGGGGGCCAGGGAGGGGCCGCAGGGTCAGGTTCCCAATGCTTCCAACAATGAAGCGTTACGGGACTTGTACCGTCGGGTACTTGAACTCTCAACAATTGAAAAGTCGTTTTCTGAAGTGGTTCTCTAACTGAAGAAGCATCACATGATGTTGAGAGGGGGGGTTGTGGTCCTCTTTAATGTCATCAGTGGCTCTCTGGGCTTCTAATGATGTGGAATAAACATGTTGCTTTCTGTCTGCTCATGAAACTCACACACACACACACACACACACACTCAGCATGAGTAAATGTGCAGTGACAGTAGACCAGTCGCACTCAGCACTTCTGTCGGTAGAGCGATTGTCCTGTTGGAGCGGACTGATCCAGCTAGACAGGTTCCTGCTTTGGTACCACAGTTTAAAGTTGGACGGGGAAAAGCGTTCCCTCGTTTTTATTAAGCTTTTTTTTGTTTGTTTTAAATATGTTTTCCAAAGGCGTTGTAATTAACTCATGTTTTTTTAATATGGTGGAACACCCTGCAGCACTGCGGATGCTGATGGGTGGGGTGGCTGCAGCCATGACTGATGTTCCAATTACCAATACTGCTCTGCTTGCAAAAACTAATATTGATTGGATTTGCTGTTTAACATCAAACAAGCATAAAGACTATGTCCCTGCAGAGAAGCATTTTGTCTCTCTAAAAACAGTTTAACATACCGCTGCCTACACTTCAATGTGGATGTAGTGTTCAGGATAGAGATTCCGGTACCAAGTTGAGTAGTGATATGCAGTTTTGCATCTGAATGTCTTAAGACAATGCATACAGGAGAGATTTTCATCCTGTTCAATTAAATGACTACATAGGGCTACAGGTATATTCATATATGCCCTATCATGACCTTTGTAAAGTAGTATGTTTTATCAGCGAGCATAAACTACATTGTCATTGTCAAATCCTGATAAAGGAAAAGCTCTGCGTCAATTTCTTTTTCTGCTCTTCGCTACAATAACTGAGTGGATGAGTCATTGCAAGAGGAAGCTCAAAGTGTCTATTAGCGCATCGTTCTCCAGTGAGTGACGCTTATCAAACTCACTTGTTTCCATTAAGACAACGTCCACCACCGCAGTAGTTCAGTCAGAATGGACCAGGAAATGGACGCACACGTGACTGCCCCCCCCCCTCCCCCATTCCCACAGGTCCTAGAAGCTGCTTCATAACAACGTCCATCACTGCAGCAAAGTGCTTCATGCGACTGGGAGCTTCTGATCAGCCACTACTATAACTGAGCTTGTTATGAAATATGTCAAATGTTATTTCTCCAGGCAGGCTGAAAAGTGGAGTGAATGCTTCACCCTCCTCTGGTTGTGAAAAAGACCATATTCACTTAATTGATTACCTCTGGAACCATAAACTCTTGCTTAGTCTCTAGTAACACCCTACTTCAATACAGCGTGATGTTTATTTTAGTAAAGGATCTATTTTGAGTCCAATAGACCATAAAGCAGAGGTTGCTCTGCTGCGCTGCAGGAAGGGTTAATGTAGAGAAGCCACATTAATCCCCGTTTCTATCTGTAGTTGCTGCTCACACTCGTTAATAAGCCTCTCAGGGGACCCTGGGGGCTCTCTGCTGCTTCACACAAAGCCCAACCGGTCCGAGTGGCAGAGGAACAGTCCACTCGGAGCGGCGTGTTAATGAGAGGCCTGTTTGTGCGTTCCCTCTCCACGGAAACCTGGTGACCGGGGCTGCAGACGCATGGGTTTGCACATCCACAGTTATTCCCTCTGTCCGACCGCCAGCTTCCCGGAATGCCTCTGCACTAATTACTGGCTCCGAACATTGTTCTCTTTGGTTCGGACGGTGCCACGCCTCATCTTGCCTGCAGAACACACATCATTCAAAAGACAAACAGGCCTTTATGTGGTTACTTCAAAGCGGGACGTGCTGCCCCCCCGCCTGCCTTTCAGCTGCCCAGAGACACAGACACCAGTTATGTCATCAGAGGATTTTAATCTTTAGCTGCTGCGTGGAAAGACACAAAAACAAGCTCTGATCTTTCATGAGTAAATATTTTTGTCACTACCTGTTTCGCTATGAATACAGTTGACTTTTCATGACAAGTTTGGAGAGCGCCGATGCCTTTTTAAAATGTTTTTATTATTATTCTTTTACAGTTAAGGAAATGTGAACGGTAGACGCCCCGATGCAGCGGAAGCTCTGTTTACCTTTACAATGCGCCGTGTGTCGACTCTCAACGAAACCCTTTTCAGAGCTGATTTTTAAATGGTTTACCTCACTTCCTTTCCCCTGTTGCCGAGCAGCAAGTGGCAAGCCGGAAAGTTTCCTCATAGCAAGCTGGCTTTTACAGCTGTTGCCATGGTGATACCGACCTGTCATACGAAGTGGCGCTTTAGCATCCTGACAACGATCTGATTGGTTGACAGTCAGGCTGAGAGGTCAGCCGCCTCGGAGATGCTCAGCAGTTCTGATTGGCTGACGGACAGCTGACTCAGGAACAGCTGTTGCTCGGCTGCAAACTGATGAGGCAGCTGCAGGTCACGATGACGCTCTAGTTCTGGATATTTGGATATTCTAAGTAGTTATCTGGTGTTCTGGTACAAGCGCGTGACTCTTCTCAGTCTCGTCCCTCGTCTTTGCTCTGATGATCACTGTGCGTTTAACTGACACTGTGTCACCACCAATGTGTGCCTACGCAAATAACAGGACTTGCCGGTTTACTTTGTCTGCTGACTCCATCCAGAACGAGCTTCAACTGCTTCTTCTGTTGACATTAATGTTGATGAGTTGGCACTTTGATCGCTGTTTTGCTTCATCAAAGAAACAAGTGCCGAAAAGGTTGTGTGTTTTCTTTTTTTTCTTTTTTTACTTCGGTTGATCTATCAACTGGTTGGAACCATTTGTTGTCTCTCAATTGTGATGCAGCGTTGGAACACTCCAGTTCATTTATAATTTACATGTTGGGTGTAAATGCTGACTCGGTGCACTGCAGCTCTCACACAGACAGACTTATTGTCCAGTTAATGGGAAACTGAGCGGTTAGAGCCCGTGTAGCAAAACATGAATAATTCACCATTTTATAGGAACGGTTAATGGGAAATACATGTATATTCTGTATTTTAAAGTACTTACTGGAAAATATTATTTTCCATCATGGATGAGAGCCGGACGTCCCAGAGAGCCAGACGTGTTGTATTTTCTCTGTGCTTATTAATTCACAGTATTATTTAATACTTTTTTCTTTTTCAGCAAAACCAAAGAATGCACCTTCAATGCAGGTAAGCAGAGGTGTGTGTGTGTGTGTGTGTGTGTGTGTGTGTGTGTGTGTGTGTCAATCTCCTCCTCCATTACTGTGACATTTTAATTAGCTCTGAAGAGGATGAGCAGCCTCTGATGTGTGAAACTCGATTGTCCTTGCAGAGCTATTGAATGTTCCCTTTGGGAAATATTGAACACCCATTAGAATTAATGACAAAAAAGTAGTAGGAAGTGAAGCACAACAAACTTTAGACTCTGTTTGTATTTTCTGAAGCATCCGTATGAAGAGGCAGGGCTCAAGAGCAAAACTAAATGAACGCGTCAACCACTGCAGCTATTCGATCACCATAGAACCCCCCCCCCCCAGTGTTAAATGTTCTAGCAGAAATAAACTTGTTTTTAGTCCTGCCTAATGTGCAGTGCTGCATCATCCAACCCGCTTCAGGTGGCAGGTTCTTTAGAAACCTCCCGCAGACGACCTCCATAGCTTCATCAGTCTGATGCTCACTGATTGAAGGCTACTGAGCGATCAGCTCTGTAGACCCTGTGTATCGAATGTCCAACCATCATAACCCTCCTCTTCCCTCCAGAGGACAGCTACGTGCGGATGTTCCTCCGAGGACGTCCCGTCACCATGCACATCCCCGATCAGCAGAAGGAGAGCTACAGCCTCGACCTCAAGGTGCCGCTACCTGAACGCAAGCTCAAGCTGCAGTGGGTGTATCTTTTGGATGGCGGGGGGCGTGGGGGTGGGGGGGTTCAGGCTTTAGAAACCTCCGGAATAGATGAACAATTGGAAAGAGACTTTGATAAACAGCCAGTCCATTTTTTTATTAATAACTATTTGCCATCAAAATGAAATGTATAAAAATGATCCCCTCACGTGAGATTTCCTGTTGTAGAGACCGTATTAGCTGAAAAAGCTACAGTCCGTTAGTCACCATAGCAAAAGAGCGTCTCAAATCTGAATATTGAATTAACCCAAGCGCGGACCAGCTATGGCTACCGCGGACGGGACTGCCGCTCCAACCTCTACCTGCTGCCCACCGGAGAGATCGTCTACTTCAACGCCTCTGTGGTGGTGCTGTACAACACGGAGGAGCAGCAGCAGAGACACTACCTGGGCCACAACGATGACGTCAAATGGTGAGAGAGTGTGAAGCCAGTCGGGAGGAGCCTTAAACGTTGCATCCTCTCTACCGACCAGAAGGAGGATAATTCTTTTTAAATAATAATTATTTTAATGTGTGATGGCCACAGTGTGCGTATAGTAACAAATTAAAAACACTGTAAAAACTTAAAATAGAGTAAGATTTAAGTGAATGGTTGGCTGGTCAGTTGGTTTTAAGAAGTTAAAGGAAGCAATCATATATTTCTCTCCCCAGCCTGAGTGTGCATCCTGACATGGTTACCATAGCAACGGGGCAAGTGGCTGGAAACTCTAAAGATGGAAAGGTACTGTGAAAGCCATCACGTCCTCTTTCACTGTTCACAGCTCAATTCTGACGGTCTATTTTAAAGCAGGTACACAAGTGCAAAAGAGAACCTACTGCAATATTTTAAATTCTAATTGTTGTAAATGGAAAACTTATCCGATTTAGGAGAGTGACTATCTCTTAATCTAATCCCATGTTTTTGCATTAGATGAGTTCCTCGGTCTGATCTTTTGTCTCCTGTCTGTTCAGCTGCAGGCACCTCATGTTCGCGTGTGGGACTCCGTGAGCCTCAACACGCTCCATGTGCTCGGGATGGGAGTGTTCGACAGAGCGGTCACCTGTGTTGCTTTCTCCAAGTCGGTAAGCCGCCGCCAATCCTCTTGTATGGCATTCACTTCCGACCGGAGTATTTTTATCACACGTATCACCTGTAACATTAAGAAGAACTCCTCGTTCTTTTCTCCCCTCTTAGAACGGCGGCACCTTCCTCTGCGCCGTGGACGATGCCAACGATCACATCCTGACTGTGTGGAACTGGCAGAAGGAGAAGCAGCTGGCTGACGTCAAGGTACCCCCCCCCTCCTTCTGTTGGCCCTGACCCATGTGCACAGCTGTATCCTTATCTTATCTCCTGGTTCCAATGGATCTATGGATCACCAGCTTGCACACAAGTGGTTGCAATGTTCTAATTTCTTCTGAATAAATCTGGTGGAGACTCACGTTTGCAGCTTGACGCTTCCTGTCTCCTGCAGTGCTCCAACGACTCTGTGCTGGCCGCCGTGTTTCATCCCATGGACGCCAACCTGATTGTGACCTGTGGAAAATCCCACATCAACTTCTGGACCGTTGAAGGCAGTACTTTGACCAAGAGACAGGGCCTGTTCGAGGTACCGCCATCAGAACCACTCCTTCAAAAATGAGACCAGCAAAATACAGTTTACCAACATTAGCTAAAACACGCGCAGCAACATCTACCTGTCTGCGTCTCCTTCTCTAGAAACACGAGAAACCAAAGTACGTGCTGTGTGTGGCGTTCGCCGAGAACGGAGACGCCATCACCGGAGACTCCAGTGGAAACCTTTACGTCTGGGCCAAAGGTACAATGTGCTCCCCCACTCAAAGTAACTAGTTAGTTGGTTAGTAAGTAAGTAAGTAGTAGTAAAGGTTTTAGTGTCTCCCAGAATGTAGAATGGCAAAACAATGATTGGATGTTCTACTATATCCAGTTGTATTTGAAAGGATGCTAGCCAGCAATGCTCAAACAAGATCCTGACAGATCTACATGATTGGAAAAAATAAAACCAACTAGCAAATTACTGATCACGAGCATAACGGAACCATAAACACATTTGGTTGTTAAAGAGGGTCGTTCATCTCATCTCGACTCACGATCTGTTTCTGCTCCATGTGCGATCCTATTGGCAGGCGGCAGCCGCATCAGCCAGGTGGTGTCAGGGGCCCACGAGGGCGGGATTTTCTCTGTTTGCGTCCTGAAGGACGGCACCATGGTCTCCGGAGGAGGGAAGGACCGCAAGGTGGTGCTGTGGGACCACGACTACAAGAGAAAGGCAGAGATGGAGGTGAGGGAGACAAAGACGGAGCTTGTTTTTTCTTGGGGGCCTTTGGGGGGTTTGAAGGGAAGCATCCATCTTGATTGCGAGTGGGTCTGTTTGGCGTGCAGGTGGGTGAGCCGCTGGGACCAGTACGGGCACTGGCCGAAGGTAAACCGGGAGAACTCTTCGTAGGAACCACCAAGAATGCCATCATCAGAGCGGCCTTCCCCGACACATTAACTCCGATTGTACAGGTACACAAGCGCACACAACGTGCTTTTCTGTGGTTAAGTGATCATTTTGTTTCCAGTTGAAGGTGCGTCCAGTGGTTTTAACTCACCCATGCGGTTCTAATGTGCTGCAGGGTCACACGGATGAGCTGTGGGGTCTGGACGTCCATCCTTCCATGGAGCAGTTTGTCACCTGCTGCCAGGACAAACTGGTTCACCTCTGGGACGCCGTCTCCCATCAGCCCCTCTGGAGCAAGACCATTGAGGTGACTGGTAGCAGGACATGCATTGCGCTCTGCCTTTTCCCATTTCCCACATAGGAATGTAAAGCCCTGACAGCGTTAACAAAGAATGCAACAGCCCGTTAAACCAAACTGAATTAACTAATAATCTTCTTTTCTGCGTCAGGATCCAGGGAGGTGTGCAGGTTTCCATCCCAGCGGTGCTGTTCTGGCTGTGGGAACCATAACTGGAAGGTCGGGGCTTGTTTTAAAATTTTGAAACTAAACACTGAAGCCTCATTCCTACTGGACGGAAAAAACAAAACACTTGCACCCTTCAACACCTGCGTCCATCTGCAGTAATGGAAACAACACAGACTGGGGCGGGATGCATGTTTTGTCATCCTTTCCCAGTGGGATGCTCTGTGACGAGCGTTTAAGTGAATGAATCAACAGGGATTTGCATCATTTCTATAACTTTTTAATGTACAAAACATACAATTAACCTACTATGCTAATGAACACAACAATCTTCATTCAGACCCAACAGAACCGGAATACAACTAATCCTCAGTCTTTCCACTGTTCCAACATCACCAAATTTGGTTTGAGAGTTTCATAGACTGAATAAGTAAATCGATGAAAATAGCAAGTTATGGCCAAAGACCATGTGCTCTCGTTTCCGCTTCACACTGTGTAAATATGAGCTGTTTGGACAAAGAAAATAGCAATTTGAAGACACGGCCTTGTGTGTGTTGCAGATGGTTGGTGCTGGACGCCGACACTCGGGATCTGGTTTCGATGCACACCGATGGAAACGAGATCATTTCCAACATCAAGTACTCTCCAGGTAAAACATGAGACACGGCTGGTGTCACCTGTCGTGTTTTACTGCGGGACTAACTCCGCCTCCTTGTGCCTCCAGACGGTAACTTCCTGGCTGTCGCTTCCCACGACAACTTTGTCTACATCTACGCAGTGACCGAGAGTGGCCGCAAGTACAGCCGCGTGGGGAAATGCACCGTGAGAACACCAACCTCAATTCTCATCTGTAGTCTGAAAGTGTGAAGCTCACCTAAAACAGTGGAAACTCTTATTTACAATGAATTAAGGGTCATTTTGTTTGACTTTACAATATGATCTGTACTTCCCGTCAATTTTTAAAGGAGTAATTCAACCCTCAAAATTACCATTTGTATCAATCATTATACAGCATGAGACTTTTGCTAAGTGTTTTGAATAAAAACAATTTAAAAAAAGGTTTACGGGACTCTGCGGTAGAGTTGGCGGTAGGACGGGGTGAGTAATTGATCCTCAGATCGTCGTGTCGGGGTGACTGATTGCTTTGTTCTCCGAAATGGAGCTTTTGGATCAAAACCATCTTGCTTGTTGTGATCTCCGCCGCATAAACTTCTCTCCCCTTTTCCTCAGGGCCACTCGAGCTTCGTCACCCATCTGGACTGGTCAGTGGACAGCAAGCACCTCGTCACCAACTCAGGAGACTACGAGATCCTCTTCTGTAGGTCCTCCCTCGTGTCTCCGTTGGCACTCGCATGGATGTCTCTCTCATTGTGTCGCAGAGTAACGGAGTTTGCATCATTTGTCTTTAAAGGGTAAAGATAAATGATGCAAACTGCTTTTTGCAAAGGCGGACAAAATGTTTCTGCAACATTTTGAAACCCAGTGATGGCTTAAGCAAAAGACTTTCGCTTGGACAAAACCCTCCTAAGGCGATTGAAGCCGCGTGGAGTGAAAGTATGTCAAAGTGCCAGAAGAGAGAAGCTGCCGCTTTGCTGCACTTTGTGGTAGTCACATGCAGTGCTGGGTGCCTTTTTTTTTCAGGGATTTCAGGGATTTCTGACCAATTTCATTAATTTTCAAGTGGTTTATTTTTCTAATTCTGCACCAAATCTTTAACAAATCAGTATAGTTGCTATTCATGACTAGAAAAACGTATAACGCACTGCTAAGCTAATCTCGTATTAAATCAAACCTAAACAACTCAAGACTTTCTTTCTAGGGGAGGCATCCAGTGGTAAACATGTGACCAACATGGACATCGTGCGCAACGAGCAGTGGGCCACTTCCACCTGCACTCTGAGCTTCAACACCTTCGGTAAGTTGTTACTCTTTTGATGGCGCACACGTAAGCTCTGTAGATAAAGTCCTGTTCAGTTCTGTTGTTGGGGGCGCGTCTCCGGCCTTGATTCTTGTCTTCATCACCCTTTTCTCTGACTCGACCTCCTGCAGGAGTCTGGCCGGACGGAGCGGACGGCACAGACATCAACGCGGTGTGCAGGTCACACAACGGATCCCTGCTGGCCTCCGCCGATGACTTTGGCAACGTGAACTTGTTCTCCTTCCCCTGCTCTCAACCAAGGGTCAGCCGTGTTCCCTCTCAGTGTTTGCACAACGCACAAATCTCGCCCAAGCCAACAGTTCACCTCTCGACTGTTTTTCAAATGTGCTCTGCGTCGTCACCTTTCAGTTATTCGGTTAAGCTTCCGGATTCGGCCGCGTTGAGATGAAGTTTGAATGAACACAGTGGCAGCTCAGCAGAATTGACTAAATACTGTATATTTTTCAAACAAGTTTTTCTTCTTTTTCTTTTTATAAGTTCAAGTTTTTAGCCACAGACATTTTAACTGGAGGTGTAAACTTAATGGTTAATTTCTAACGAGCTGCTGTTTGCACTGAATCTCAGACGTTTTAAATATTTGCAAATGCAAAAAAACACCTGTTATTGTACTTTATGTGACACAAAATGTGCGTGTGTCAAGCTCCATTGAAACTGATGCAGAAAGTAACAATACAAATAGTTGGACTATTATATTCTGTTCATTCACTTATCTGGAGGAAGAAATGTCCCAAAAAGCTACCGCCTCATTTATTACCCCTACACGATATTATTGACAGTAAGGACGAGCGCTTGTGTACAGCAGCTCGACGTCGCCATGATGCTTCGGACTAATTCTGCCCTTTCCTGTGTTTCTCTGTGAAGGCTCCGAGTCACGAGGGCCGTGGCCACAGCAGTCACGTGACTAATGTTGCCTTTTTGCACGACGACAGTCACCTGCTCTCCACCGGTGGGAAAGAGACCAGCATCCTGCAGTGGGCGGTGTAGGACCCCCATCCCCAAACAGGTGGGGGGTTGGGCAGCGTCCGGCCGACCTCTTCACTGTTCTATACTCCTGCACCACCAGGGGGCAGAATTTCCACTGTGCCTACGGGAAATAATAATAATAAAACACACACACACACAACTCCGATGTCCCACCGGTTGAAATGTATCATTGTAAAAGATGAAATATAATTTCATGTCCTTCTGCTTGGTAATAGAATGTAGAGATAATGACTTGTTCCCATGCAGGATGTAAATCTGTTCCAAGACCATACAGCAAACCCGTGATTTAGCATTGGTACGAACCGTGCCTAAGCGGTATTTATCTTAACACCCTTTAACAGGAAACTCACCCATTTTAAAGGGACCAGGTGTTTTAGCTCCTTTATTAAATGTGCACTTCAGTTTAGTTGGATGCATGCGCCACTGTCACGGTTTATTTAAATTTTAGGGGTTTAATATTAACGGTTTACTGTTTCCAATAGATTTTCATACACCAAAATGCATGGAAACTAATATAAATGTTTCTATATTGATAAAATGGTACCCTGGTTTGCAAAATGGGGATGTAAAGTATTCCTGATTTGAAATACAAAGTAGGGTCAAAACTTGCGAAATCTCCTCCAATCTTGCGGGTGAGTGCGATAGATGAGCGTGCCCCACTCTTTCCTACAACTGAAACACCCAGAAAAACCCTCAAATGTAAAAAACTTGTAAGGAAAGTTCAACAGAATCTAACGTCTACAACAGGTGTGATAGTCATTCAGCTTTTAGAGCGATGCATGCTCGGAAGATTCCTGAAATTGGTGGTATTACCACATTGTGTACTCTTACTGTAACTCCATTTCCTTGTCATCTTCTACGTGTACATTAATCAGCCTGATGATAATAAACTCCTATGGTGCAGATTGTGAGCAGTACAATCCACCCACACCCTCTAACCGAGGGCTGCTGTATTTCTGATTGTACTACTACCGCAGGTCACTGGATGGCGCTACAACGCAAGAGAATGAGCATTATGGCTGTCTGGTAAATGCTGTTAATGTTGCAAAAGGTCGTAGATTTATAAATATATTATGCAGTGTAACCGAGTGGCTGTGTCATTTTAATTAACTACCGATGATGGACGTTCGTATTGACCGAAGGGTGATGTGGTCTGCTGTGCTGTGAGCTTAAGCTGTGCTTTGCCTTCTGTTTTGTTAATAAAGTTTTTACCCAAGCACTACTCTGTGGCGGCGCTTTGTATTCCTTCACTGATTCAGTTAACATGCGTGAGGTGGTTCGAGGGAAGTTTGTGGCCACCGGTTGCTAATTTAAATACTTTAGGTCATTGCGGTCAGTGACCCTGCAGCAAGCATTGAGTGGCTTTATCAAACCCCCCCATGCCGGCTGTGTTGAGCAGTGCACGCAGTTTTATAATGTGAGCCCTCCGGTTCCTTCAATAAATATCTCCGATTTGTCTTGTCACTGCAAATAACAATTCTGCAATGGGAGGCAAATCATGGGGGATAAATACCCGCTCTACTCTGACCTTCCATAGGAAATATACGGACATCAATTGCATTTCTCATAGAAGCCCGCTGACCAGAATGCAATGCGCTAAACTAAAAAGCTCTCTCTCGCTCTTGCGCCCAGGCACAAGAGAGGCATTCTGGGAAACACCGGTATTACTAGTAGGGGAGGGCTCGTGTGAAAACGAGACAAAACGTTGGTTACAACACGTCGTCTTCATCAGCGTTAGTGGGGAGGCCGAGGAGGCTTTCTGTCCATGAGCACCTCCTTGGAAAAGAATGAGGCGCTGGAGATTTTGGACTCAAAACAACCTTGTGACCATATTTAATAGTTATTTTAAGAAACAGTACAGCCTAAACTAAAACCAACGCTCGTGTTTAGTAACCTTTTATTTTTGTTGTTCTACTCTAAAGAAATTAACAGTGTTTACATATGAGTTACTATACAAAATGAAAGACAAAAAGTACCCAGTGAGGCAACTGTAAATCAACCTTGATGTATACAGACTGATCGCAGCAGCACACAAAGCCAGTGGAAAGACACTCTGCTCTTGGCAGTTGAGGTAAGATGAAAATGTTTCAACGTAAGCAAATAGTGTCTTCAAAACAACTGTTTGTAATACGAGAGACTCACTGGATATTTCTATAAACAATATTTTTGTAATAAATAACAAAATCAACTCAAATAAACCTTCAATAGACATTTTGTACCAGCACCATTTTTAATATGATTGTAAAGTATGTTTTCATTTGTATCTTTTGCTTAATGTCTTTTATGATCTATTTTGTGCTTCCTTACATAGACTTCCAGGGCCACTGCTTTTCTGTATTTCTGATCCTCTACTGCAGAAACAGAAACATGCATTTGTCACTGCAGCTTCCACGAGCTTAACAGGAAGTACTCACAACATAAATATCACGAGGACAAAAGCACTTTCTCAAAGGAAGAGCCTGAGACATAGGATACACCAAACTTCAACACAATAAACATCGACCTTTAGGAAGAGGGTGACTCAGAGGACAGGGAGGCAGAGAACTAGGGCTTCCTCGAAGGACATTAACCTTATTTAAGGATGAAAGATGACCATGTTACTTTTTACGTTTTGGCACTCAGAAGGTAATTGAGGTCAATCTCTCCAAAAGGGCAGAGTCGAGCACAGCGCACGGAGTAACTGATGTTTGCTGTTTCATGGTCTCAATCGCTAGTTTCAATTATAGTATATTAATAGACCATAAGACACAAAAAAACGGAGCGTGCCTTCTGTAACGGACAGGTCGCTGCCGCTACCAAAGCCGTACACTATGTCACTTCAGTGGTTGCAAAAAGCAACATGGCGACGCCGAACTCGAGGCTTCAAACCAGCACGTCGCACAGCGGGTGAGTATGACCACGTCCACTTCTTACATCCAGTTCTAGGAATCTGTGAGCTCATTGAGCTTGATCTTAGTATTAGTTTTGTTTTATGTATCCAAAAGGTCCATCAAGGGATGCGCATAGCTTTGCCTATGAATGCTGTGATATGTGGCATTGGGTCATGTTACATATGTGTTCCTTTGTCAAGGTTTGATAAGATCACAAGGGATCTAGAGAAATGTGAAGTCCCTGAATTTCAAGAGAAACAACAAAAGGTCACAACATTCAAATGAATTTGATGTTTGAGAACTAATGTTGTGGCTATAGGATCACCAGTAGCTCTGTCTGTAAGGGGTGAAAGGGGACCTGCATCATCTGAGATTGGCGTCAGAAGACAGTCTGGTCCTCTGGCAGGACAGACGGATAGAGGTACCAGCGCATAGCATTGGTCATATAAATCATCAGAGCTGATAATCGGAAGGAAGGAACTGGTGTATATTCACAATCAAACGGCTACCAACAATCTCTTGTGCACACGAGGAGAGAGGATGCTTCGCTCCTCTCCATGCCACCTTTAAAACCTGTTCCACCCTCAGGCTCCGAGTCTTTTGGCCTCTGCTCCGAAAATGGCATACCCAGGATAAACAGTGTAATACCTCTGTACTTTGTTTATTTGGACAATGTATTTGCTGTAGGACAAAGGTGAACCCATGTGCTATGATGTGTAAAAATCAGTTGTTACTGGTCATTTGAATTTTGTAAATCGCCACAAAAAATATCAACAGCCCTATAAATCCTATAAACGCGGAGATACCAGGCTAAGACCACATGTAATAATAACAGTACACATGTAAAGTTTCACGTTAATCGTAAGTTTTTAAAAGCTCCCATCAGTGACTACTAAAGTTTTACTTTTTAAACTTGCATTGCATTTTGCTCCAAATATTGGCAGAAGTTCCAAAACAGCAGCAGTGTTTTGTGAACGTTTTCAGGTAAAGTGAAGGTTTTAACACGACACACTAGCAAAGCAGTGATGAGGTCAGAAGACAAAGGTACTGTATACGCGACTGAGGACTGATGCTCTTTATTTGCAGTGTTTCTTGCATGAATAACGTGAATATCCGAGAAGCAAAGAAGACAAAGAAAGGCTTAGACAAATGGAATGAGGCCAGCTTCAGGGAAGAGGTCTTGTGAGTGAGCGGAGTCAGGAGGCCTGTCGGTGGCTTCATTAGAACCACTGTATTGTAGGACCATCGTGTTTCAGCTTTGGATGACACAGATGAAAGTCACAAACCAAGAAGGGTGCTCTAACAATAAAATGGTTCTACACTGCGAGTATTGCTGAAGTCTTGACCTCTTCCAACATGTAGGTCTTAACAAAAATAAAGTTTATATTTTAGCAATGACACATGAGGAGGGGAGACAACAAACTAAAGCATAGTGACCCTCCAGCAGCAAGCAGAATTGCACCAGAATAGCAAAGTTTCTGGACCAACTGCTTCTTTGCTTCATTAAAATTAGCATGCAGTTTTCCCCGGAGTGCAGGGTTAATTTATCGGTGTAGAAGCAGGCTGAGCTTCCATGTTTAGCTTGAGGTTACTTTGATTTGGAACGTGACCCAATAAGGACCTCATCCCTTCGATAACCTTTGTTGTTTTTTTGTTTCCGGGTTAGCTCTGCACCATCAGCACATTCCGCAGTGCCATCAGCTGTCACACAAGTTAGAATCCGTGGGAGATTTATTGCATACAAGCTTTTCATCAACACATCGGTGAGAGCTTTCTCTCGGCTTTGCATTCCCTCAAATACAACCCTGAGAATATATTGTTGGTGGTTAGTTCTGATCATAAAATATATCAGGTTTCTTTTGGAAAGACCTTTGAATGAATCTTATGTGACAAAAAACAAATAAATCTGTATGAATGTGAACGTTTAACACCTCTGCTTCATAAATGCCGTTAACGTTTCAGCGATCATCAAAATAATAGATTCATTTTCTTTCATTGAATTACCTCGATGGACCAATTAGGAAATTGGTACTTCACCAGCGTTCCCTCACCAGCCATTAGACGCTACAGAGGAGAACTACCAAGAGAGGAAGGGGACTCAAGCAGTGTTTTTAATAAATGAGTCCAGACGTAGGGTGGGATTTATGGATTTTCATTAAAAGGAGCTGCTCTAGTTGCCATTGTTTCTCACCTGGGACAGCAGGTATATGCAGGCGGCCACATGTTAGAGAAGATAAATGCTGCCACACTTCCTCCCCCGCGGGACCAACCGGGTCACAAAACATTTGGCATAAATCAGCCCAGGGGAGGGGAACGGGCAGAAAAAGAGATGACCTTCCAAACGCATTGATCCAAATAAACAAATGATCAATCGTCACAACAAATAAAGCCTTTTGGCTTATTGCGTTTGTGAAGCTTTTTCCATTTTTCTGATGGAAAGAACCGGATGAAAAGCGCGGCCCATTTGTGCGGAGAGCGGCGGGGGCGTTCTGATGGGAGACGAGTCGTGAGAACAGAAAACAATCTGTTGTTCTCAGAGACGCTTAATCAAATAAAACGGGATGGAATATTTTGACAGTGGGGTCTCAACCACAAAATGTACAAACCCTGAGGCAGCAACACATGACACACAGACACACAGACACACACAATTTGTTGTGGGACCGAAATAATAAAATAATGAAAGACAGATTCAGAAAAGGCTTTGCGTTGTCACTTTCCAACCATAAAGGCTTTTTTTAACCCTCCCTCATCCCACCAGTGAAATGGATTAATTTAGGGAGCAAAATGACACAAACAAACCCTCATTGATCGCTTTCTACAAACATGATCAAGAAAAAGCTGTCAGCAAGTGACAAAGATACTTATTTTAGTAAGAATATTAAACCAAACGTTGATGAACTAGTGATACAGGTTGTGGTCAATTTACAGCGATAATATGAGCCAGATAATGTTGCATTGACGTTAAAGACCCTCCCCGAAGCCTTTGTCAAACTACTTAAATGTCTTCCCTTAATGATTGGGTCTGATAGTCTTTGTTTGGGTTCATGATAGACATAAATATGTTTACGCAATAATCATTTTACACGTATACATTGTTTTTTTTCTCTTCAGAGTGTCTTACCTTCCATCATGTTTATATTGCACAGCCCTCCGTTCTTTGGTATGCGCCAAATATCGCCAACGTTTTTGAGTCGTACTGAATTAGTTTGATTTGTTAGTTGTGTATTGATTAAATGGAGACGTTAATACAACTAATCCCTTAATCACACTGAATTGTTACATTATGATCTTCCGGACTTTTGCTTCTAGAAATTTTCACCAACTGGACCTCATTACATTTTAGTTGAAT